CACGTCTAAAGCCAGGCTTTTGTGTACTACAAAGGTGGTTCTCTTTGAATGCAGCTAGATCACCATAGTAACTTATGCTTAGTTCATAACTGGGTTTGACCACTAACTACAGATCAAAGTTCAGTCTGCCTATGTTTGTAGGCATGTGCAGTAGGATTGAAGCAGCAGTGTTGCGTTTCTGATTCAACTTTCACAAAAGTTTATGAACTGTTTATTTAGTATTATAGGAGCAGGAATAATCCGGGCAGCAATCTGATGGCAGCATTTAGTTTATTTTTTCAAATGAATAAGGGGATAATGTGTAGACGTTGCACAATACTGAGCTTCAGAAATAAAAACACTAAGGGGAGTATTTTCATATGAATCGGTGTTCATCAGCACACCTCCCTTTCCTTGATGGGAGCAAGAGTGCTGCTTTTGGCAGATTGATGGTCTTTTTATATAGCTCTCACAACTTTGAAATATGTTTTCCCTGCATGCATTTTGCACGGACGTTGGTTAAAATTATGTGGAACATCCCTTTTTATTTGAACATGCACACTAATCTCACTTGACAAAGCAAGTTAATAACCGGCATCGTGGAACTGTTTAACTGTTTAGGGGGTTTAGGTTTTGTTAAGCTAGACATTGAACACAAAGCCTGGGTATGTTAAGCCACCTTCGTAGTACAGGCCTCTGATGGAAGGCAACGTAGTGGAAAGAAAACCAATTAGTAACACGATTCTTCCAAAACCTGAAATTCTTTACAAGTTTTCTTTTTAAAAGGCAAATCCAAAATGACTTGACAAACAAACAAACGGATAGACATCCCTGACTGAGGGAGTCTTACTGGAGATGGTACCTTTGGGTGTCTGTCACTTTCCTGCCCCTCCTCCTCCTCCACCTCCTCATCATCTTCCTCTTCTGAGGGAACAGATAGAGGAGGAGGTTGGGGAGGTGACGACTGAGTAGCCTCACACTTAGACTCCTCCACAAGCATCTCCTCCACCTGCTCCTTCAGCCCCTCCACGTGCAGACGAAACCGACCGATCAGCTGCTCCAGGTCCCTGGTAGGAAATGACAAAACTAACGTGAAGAGAAAGTCTATTTAACTGACTTAAGAAGGCCTCTGGAACATACTCTTCTGGTCATATAGATGTGTGTGTGTGTGTGTCCAGATAATCAGTCCAAGTAGCCCACATTCTGCAGACCACATGTTGACCCAATAAACCCAAGATAAGACTGAAGTGAGTTGTCTTACAACTGGACGGTTGTGGGAACAATTCAAAACATATTATTTTAAATAAAGAGATGATAATTAAAACTGTCATATATATATATATATATATATATATATATATGGATAGATGACTGTAAATTAGTTATATTAATTAAGATATTCAAAACCTTCAGAGTCACACATTTTTACACACATCTTTGTCATCATGACTGTTTCTTATCTCAGTTCGGAAATTATTTTATTTATTTATTTTTTTATATTTGCTTTCAGGGTTTGTAGCTTGGTAGTTCCGGCTACTTTCTTGATCACTTATCGGTAAGTGCCGACCAGCTGTGTGTTCACATTTCTTGGACCCAACTTCTCACCGTTCTCGATCAAAAGGATTTGTTTCTTCTCCTCGCTGCTGTCGGAGCGCGTCCTCATCCATCGCCAACAGATAACCTCTCTCCAGAGAGTTGAGCTCCTCCACCACTTGTAGGAGGCCCTGATATCCAGACAACAGAAGGTCATCAGTTTGACAGCAAATGGGAAAATAAACAGAGTCAAAGCTCCAAAGAAGTCAGGCTAGTTTCTCTTACCTTGATCTGTTTAACAGGCTGACAGGAATCGTTTTTCAAGATCTCCTCAAAAGAGTACAGCTGAAGGACAAAGAACAAAAATCATCATCTTTTAACCACACCATCTAAAATCCAAAGCTTGTTACCCTATTTATTTACTGATTAAAAATAAAGAAGGTTCTACCTGATGGAAGAACTTTTCCGCCTGACTGCGGAGAACCTCAGGAGTGATCTGTGTTCCCTTGCTGAAGTTCATTTCTGTGAAAAGAGAAACAGAGTGATGTCAAAAAAATCTTTACATTCACACCAATATTCATTGATTTAGATGATGAGGTGAAGATCATCGAACAACAACAACAACAACAACAAACCCTTATGAGCACCTTGTTCATTTGCTTGAGGGGAATCTGAGTGCAGCTCCACTCTCTGAGCTCGGGGAAAGTCCAAGGTCACCAACTTGGAAGGGTTGAAGTTGAGTCCAGACTGAACCACTGGACTGGGCTTTGGAAGTTCTGAGAACAGATTCACCTGGTGACAGTAAATAATAAAACAAAACAAAAAATGAACATGTGCTAATGCTGTTCATTTAGTCAGGTAAAAATGAAGAAATGTAGAGCAAGATGTCTTATGTTCCTTCACATTAAAAATGATGGTTTTCCTAATGGACGATCTCCCTCCTACTGCAGGATGACACAGCAGTTAAGAAACTTCAATTTCTAACCAAAAAGGTAACAGTTACGATACTCGATTAGCATGTGTTTCCAGCTAGCATACTGACTAAGCATGCTAAACCTCCCTGAATGTTCACTCCTGTCTCAATATTTTTGGAGTCTGTTGCAGGTGTCAAGGTCAATAAAAGGAGACATAATGTCTCTCTGTTCAACTCACTTGTTTCATAAAGTTATTTTATTTTGTTTGGTTTTGTATAATTAATGTTAAGGTAAAACGTTTTTTGTTGTTTGGTGATCTTAATAGTAAAACAATTTACAACAAGCAAACGTGTATATTATATTTAGGTGATTAATTATAATATTAAGAAGTCACTGCTACATCAACTACCTTCGCTCCCACACGCAGGCGATCAATGGTGTTTTCTGCCTCGGCGTGTTTAGTCAGCAGTCTGTCGTAGTTTTCCTGCAGATGTCAACATCAGGAAAGGAGAAAAGGACAAGTTGAACATATATATATATGTACAGTATATATTGTAGGTATAATAAATATATAATGTACTTCTCGTTTGAATATTATTCAAGTCAGGTCCAGTTCTAGCTTCTATCTTTATTTATTTTTAATGAATGCATGGAAAGTGAACTTTAAGCACAATTTAAAACAAGTGTAAATGACTTGGTGTACAAAGAAATTAGAACATGGAGAAAAGAGCTGAATGAAAGAGTTCTGACCAAAATCAATGTAAAATATTTTCAATTTTAGCTCTGGGGAGAGCGGGAATGGGGGAGGGAGTTGGGTCTGGGGGGTTTGTGTCAAATGTAGTCATTTAAGCATCCTAAATTGGAAAAAAAAAGTATGTCTGTTTCAAACGTCCCTGCCCACAGTGGTGGTCTGTGTGGACATTTAAGACAGAGGAGACAGTGGTGGTCTGTAAGGACATTTAAGACAAAGGAGACAGTGGTGGTCTTAGTGGACATTTAAGACAGAGGAGACAGTGGTGGTCTGTAAGGACATTTAAGACAAAGGAGACAGTGGTGGTCTTAGTGGACATTTAAGACAGAGGAGACAGTGGTGGTCTGTAAGGACATTAAATACAGAGCAGGAGACAGTGGTGGTCTGTGTGGACATTAACTCCAGAGCAGACCATCTCTTTGAATCCCAGTTCTACCATTTGATGTGTTGTTGTACACATCTACAAGTTCTTCAAAAATGTACTACATTTCCATGTAAAAAAACTCGGAGGATGGACAAAAGGCTTTGGATTTACATCAGCATTTAGCATAAATATGGCAAAAATATAAACGTTTTTTCGACACCAAGGTCACAACAATATCACTATTTGAACCTGAGGAGACCTGGGGAAGTGTCCAACTTCAACCATAGGTTCCCCTCCTTCAGTCTAGTTTTGTGTTTTGCCAGTACCTGCAGCTGCTCCACCAGAGCTATGGCCTGCTGCACCTTGATGTTGGAGGCTCCGTCAATGGTGTTCAGGAGAACATCTCTGGCAAAAGCTGCTGGATTCTGGGGAAAGTCTGGAGACAGAGAGTCCCACACTGGGGGGCGTTTGCTCACGCTGCGTAGGACGTTGTCTTTGGGGAAGAGGACTCTGGGGGCCACTTTTGAGAAGTCTGGTATCTTGCGCACAAACAAATTTCTGTAAAGATTAAAAAAGATAAATACATTTTTTTTAACAGCAACAACGGTGACATATGAGAGGTGAACACTGGTGGAGACAGAGCACCTGGGTGATTCAGGAGTCCTCCTCCTGCCTCCAGGTGTCCTCAGCTCTGTGAATGAAGATGGTTTCTTAAAGTCTTGCTGTTTTATGTTTTTTTCTTTCTTGTCAAGCTCTTGCACCTCCTCCTCCTCCTCGTCCTCGTCCACTTCCTGCTCCTCCATTTTAAATTCTTGAGGACTGATATCAAAGATTTCACTGTTGCTGCACGACTCCGTGCAACTGTCTACGAAGTCCATCAGCGGTAACGACTCGGCCTCGATCCCTGGGGGAGAAACCACAGCTGTTGGTCGGTCATGATCGTCTGATGAAGATTGGTCATCCATACTGCCTTCTCGAGGACTCAAGGACTGTGTGATTGATTGGTTAACTATTAAAGTTAGAATTGACTTTTCTCCATCAGATTCATGACGTAAGCCTATAAAGGCATGAAAGGTTCATTCAGTGCAGCCAGGAATATGAGGTCCACATGAAAGGAAAATGTGCCCTGACATTTTCCTTTCATGATGCGCTGGTGGTGGGTGGTGGGTGTTATGGGAGTGTTCCTGACATTCTCAGACTAGTTCCCTCACTTAAAAGTACATAATGCAACACAATGACAAAGTCAATCAAATGCACACATGCAGCCACAGATATGAAAACAGCAGTAACTATTGTAACACTGAGTGAAGCTGTTGTCGTAGTAACGCTGTCTATAGCCGTGACTGTCGGAAAAAAAGCTCCATGAAAATCATTTAATATCACAAATTTATCAGAGAACTGTTGGTCAGTCAGTATTGTTAGTACTGTACTCTTTTGTGTACAGTACTAACAGTACAGGCTGGAGTTGTGAACAGCTCAGTCAGCGCTGACTGTCAATCAAAAACGTAAAAAAAAAAAAAAACCACTATCCCTTTAAAGGTGTACCCTAAAGAACATTAAGAAAAGTTTGGTAAAGAGCTAAATCTCCATCTTCACCAACCTGAGTTTGTTCGTCGCGCCATGATGTCGCCTCTCATTACTGTTCATCCGCCTCCTCCTGCTCCACCAACGTCTGTTTTCTTCATCGTCTTTCGTATAAATAATTATTTCATAAACTGACAAACCGACGCTGTCAGCTGTGTGTCGAGAGGAGATCCTTGAAATACAGTAGTTCCTGAAACAACAAACAGATATTAAGTGAAGTGATGTGAAGTGAACTAGTTGTCATTGTGACACAGCACACCACTGCACACAACCGAATGTGACCTCTGCTTTTAACCCATCACCAAAGTGAATAGTGGTCAGTTTTATGGATAAATATCAACAATCTTCAAGAGCCCTAATGTGTTAATAATATACACAAAATGGCCGATGCAGAATCTCTAAGAGCTAAGACCGCTGTTTTTCACGATGAAATTCTAAAAAGAAAATACAAATAAAAATACATTTTGACAAAAATGTTGAGTAAAATCCAAACTACCAAAGACATCTCTTATTGTTTGTTTTTTAAAGCGTATCATAGTGTCATTCCAAAATAGTTCCCTCAGTCAACAGTACAGTAAGCAGTACTGTACAGCACAGTACACATCAGCAAACATACAGTAAGACTAAGAAGCTGAAGTGGATATAGATTCCTCTCAGTATATAACATGCAGCCATGGAGACTTCAAAAATGACTGGCCTGAGTTGCTATTGTGTGGTTTCCATGGTGACCAGCGGAGCTTCAGTTGAATGTGAACTTTAGTGACACACTAGTCTAGAAAGTGTTGTAGCATTTTAACAAACACACACTCAACCGATGAACTCTTTCATATCAAATTATATTGTATGTATGATAATGAAAAACGTGTGATTTTTTTCCGCACACGTGTGTTTAGATCTCGGATTCTTCAGATTCCTTTATTCTTGAAGAGAAAAATTAGCTGCTTGCACCACCTTCTGTTCGAAACATTCATTAGGATCGACACTAAATTTTGTAAAACGAAGAAATGTGCTTAAAAATGTACACATTAATGACATCCTATTTCTCTTAAATGATGTAAATTTAAAGTTACAGTTTTGTGAGACGGAAATCCAGTTAACACATTTACAATTTAATTTTACTTTTCAGGATCCATAGAGTTCCAGATTAACCCGTTCCTTTTAAGGTATTTCAGAGTCACTGAGGGAAGTTTATCTAGAACAAGTTTCTGCCTGTCTGTAGAACAGTTCTGCACACAACAATCATGTTCTATAATCTCACACAAGCAGATGCAATAAAAACACAGTTAATGCTCTGGTTAGAAGGAATAACACATTCCTGACACAATTCAGTCAGATTTTCTTTTTGAGGATAGCCACTATTTGTCTTGACCCAGATTTAATCCACAGAGTATAGGATTAGTCGGCTAATTCGCACATAGCAGATACACACAAACACACACACGAAATGGGGTGACGGGATTTTTCAGTTTCACTTAGACTTCTGAATTTGCAGCACCAGTCAGTCTCAAGTACAAGACTGAAGAAAACACCAAACAGTTTTAGAATTTATGACCAAAGTGAAAGTGAAGTGTGATAAAACAATAAAGTAAAGCAGCAGTGGTTCACTAATGTGCTCTTGTGTTATGACCAAAGTGAAAGTGAAGTAAGATAAAACAATAAAGTAAAGCTGCAGTGGTTCACTAATGTGCTCTTGTGTTTGTTCAGAGAGTCACCTGGGCTTTGTCTTTGCTGCCAGATGGAGGTGAATTAATCAGCTCTGAAAAAACTGGCGGGGTGGGGAGCGTTTCAGCCTTATGTGTAAACACACGATGGTCGTCAGCATACACGGAGAGTACGGGGCTGATGCAGGTACTCAAGCAGACTGGAGGAGATCTAATCACCTTAGTGTCTAAGCAGCAGGGTGGAGGAGTATTAATTTGATTTTAGTAGTGAAGGATGTATAAAAGACATTAGGCTATGATCAAATTATGATGAAATAGGACTGAGTGATTGATATATTTGTATTCATCATAAAGAATGAGAGGGCGTGGGGCGATAATCAATAAATCCATTGATAGCAGGATTAATGAAAATTAATTATTATCTTACTAGTCTTGCTAAATTGCCCTGTGCATTTGCGTTTATTTTCCTCATCTCCCACCTCCAAACAGGCTGGCTGACAAGAGGGTTCACTCTGTGCATCCCTCTGGAACTACTTGGGTCGACAAACAGAGCAGTTCAAAATGGAGGGTGCTTTCAAAGTGCAGTTGGCTACATTGCAAAAAACACCGGCGTGCTCAGGGTTTTTCCTGTTTTAATTAAAAAACAATTAAAATGGTAAAATAAAACCACTTTGTCTATTCTTAAAGCAGTATTCTGAAAGAATAAGAAGAATAAGACACAGCTCTTACGGTTACAGTTGTTTACTGTTGTGTTTTTAAATAGGAGGAAGCACTTGAGCAAAATATGATTCTTTAAGTATATTTTCTTAAATTTCTGCATGTTTATTTTAATTTAATGCTTTTTTTATTTACATGTTTTTTTCTTTTAAATAATATCCCTGTGTGATTTGTAATGTGTGGCTTTGCGAGCTTATGTTCTTATTTCTGAATAGAGAAAAATATAAAGATATATATTTTATATTGAGATATACTAGAGAAATATTGAGATATGTTTTTTATGACCATATCAACGAGCTCATGACGAAGAAATGGAATCTGACAAAAAGTCTGAGAAATTCAAGCTTTACTTGTCTGAAACTAGGATTAGTGTATACTGGGTCGCACTCAACATCCAGTCCACTCATGTGTGGCCATCTCCTGTCAATTCAACAGCCACTTCATTACAAACTAAATGTACTACAAAGACAAATATCTAATCAGTCAATCAGGTGACAAATCCAGATAAGCAGATTTAATAAGAAAAGTGATTGGTTGAACCTTATTTGGTTGTCAAAGGGCTCTTCTGAATGTCTCAACACAAAAATATCCGAAAAGAACAAAAGTGTCAGGTTGGACTTTCTTTCCTTGGGAAAAATCATTTTGATGCCACTGAGCAAAAGTGAATGGACTAACTGGCTCAATAAAGGAGCACCTCTGAACACAACATATCAGGTCTAAGAGGACACATTTAGCACAACAATAACTGCACAGCAACTATATGATGTAAACACTTGAGTCACTAGAAGTGTGTTGCCATCTGTAACACAATTAAGGGAAGATGGTCAGTGAGGTCGTTCAACATTGGTTAGTCTCTATTTATTTATTTTTAGAACACACTCGCGGACACCTTAGGTTGTCCATGAGGGCTACCAGGTGCCCTCGGGCACCACGCTGGTGACCCCTGCTCTATAGTGACATCGAAGTAACGTTAAAGAGATAACTACTTATAATGGACAATCACCCAGGTTCATTCTTTACTCTACACTTCCTTCTGGACCTTCTTCTTCTGACTCAAAGCTGTTTTCACACTGGCTCTTGATACAGTATTCGCTGCACACTGCAAAGTAATGTGCAGCCGCTCCTCAACTAATGTGCATCTACTAATTCACCTGAGATGGAGTTTGATGCCAAATTAACTAATTTGGGTACAAGTTAAAAGAACAATTATGCTACTGATCACATGACAACGTGTATGTGTCAGTTTAGCAACTGAGCAAAATTAACACATTTTAATATCAACCTCTTTAAAGCAGACAACACCAGTCAAAGACAACGCAAGATGTTATTCCTCTCAGGTAGGAACCAAGGTCAAAGGCTACAACATGCTTAGACTCAAGAAATTAAACATAAAAAAATGAGTTGGAAAATTATTATTATTATTATAGTCAGATGACCATATATGACCTTCAGTGAGTTTAGGCTGGTTCTTGTACTGTATACTTGCTAGATAAATAATAATAATAATATATATATATAATATGTAATAAAGAATAATATCTAGTACCTACTAATATCATATAATAATAATAATAATAATAATTGTTTGCTTTTTTATACACGTGTTGGATATACTTTAATACATGTATTAAATAAATACATATATGTTCCAGATGTAAGCTAGGAGCATGAGACGTTACAGAAAAAAACAAAACAAAACTTGCTCAACATCAGTTCACCAGGTTGAACCAGTTAGGGTAGTGACGTTTTTTTTTTCTCAACATCATGCATTTTAAACAGAATCTGGAATTATAAAAACAAACTTCTATTGTGGAGAAAACAATAAGTTTTCCAACGTTTTTGCAGGACTTACCTTAGGCTTCAGAGAAGAAACACAGATTTATACTGGAGTTGAAATGTAATCCGTTCTCTTGCTCGTCCGAGTCCTCTGTTGCCTTGAAAACCACCAAACTAAAGACAACACACGTCACCATGGTACTCCAGACAACAAACCACCGCCACAGAGGGTTCAATTCCCTGTCCCCAACCTCAGCTACAATCTCTGCAGGGGTTTGTGTGGAACTTCACGTTAGCGTAAGAGGCGGAGCTTAATGGCTAACACTAAAGTTAGCATAGCCAATACTACTTTTTAACGTTACAACAAATCATTATAAGCGTCGCTTTAAACAGTCATTTATTTACGTAAATTTGAAGTCTCAGGAATGACGCAAATCATTTAAACTCTGTTTCAACTATTCATGGCTATTTAGAAAGGATGGCACTGATTTCTGTAGTTATTTAAAATAGCATGCGTGGAATAAATAAAGCCCCGATTGTAGACTCTCAGGCTACTTTCGTATTACAAAAGTTGCCAAAATACCAGAATTTCCTCTAAACAGCCCATTCCGTTCGACTAAATGTTTACTAATCCGACTAACAACTTTCTATCAATGTTAATGTTCTTTTGGTTTGTGTTGCTTATCAGACTAAATGGACACAAAGCTGAGGCGGCATAGAAAGTTGCGATGTGTTTGTAAAGCCACTATCTATCTATCTATCTATCTAT